ATTGTTTGCAAAGCTGCAGTTTTGTCCTACAAATCTGGAAGCCACAGGTTTAAAAATTATCAGAAGAGCTCACACACAGATGAGATCCGATTATGCTTTTTGTCCTCACATTGAGGGGTTTCTTCCAGATTCCACTGAAGAAGTGGGGAGTGAAAGTGAAGAGGAGGTTGCCATTGAGGAGGAAGCTTCAGCGAGTCAGGAGGAGGACTTTGGTGTTGAGTACTTGCTGAAGCAGGATGAGGATCGTGAAGGCGAGGGAGAAAATGACTCGGCTCCAGCTCCAGGGCCCAAGAAGGAAATCACTGACATTGCAGCAGCAGCAGAGAGCCTGCAGCCCAAAGGCTATACTCTGGCTACTACGCAGGTGAGTAATGAAATCCAGCAGGGCAAGTGGGTTGAGACTGAAGGGAGGAGGCAAAACCAGCAAACATTATTACTTTTCTCCCACCATGCAGGTGAAGACACCCATCCCTTATCTGCTGCGAGGAATTCTACGAGAATATCAGCACATTGGCCTGGACTGGTTGGTTACTATGTATGAGAAGAAACTGAACGGTATTCTGGCTGATGAGATGGGGCTTGGCAAAACAATCCAGACCATCTCCCTGCTGGCACACCTGGCCTGTGAAAAGGGTGGGTAAGGGACTTTGTGGGGGAAGAGGGAGGGCAGTAGAAGAAATGACACAGTTGATGACACTTTAAAACACATACGATGTGAAGTGCTAAGGTTTGGACCCTTCTGTGCACTTGCTTTGTGGCAGCCTGGCTGCGTTTGGGGAGTGAGTGGGCTACAGAGAGCAAGTTCTTGAGTATCCTTTAGTGCTAAATTTGTTCATTGAATAGTATGTGAGTGAGGCACAGAGGCAGCCTTGGTCTGTAGAGGCATGTATTCTTTATGTTTGTGATTCTGTCCTCTTGTAGGTAGCTGGGGACCCCACTTGATCATTGTCCCTACCAGTGTCATGCTGAACTGGGAGATGGAGATCAAGCGCTGGTGCCCCAGTTTCAAGATCCTCACTTATTATGGGGCACAGAAGGAGCGCAAACTGAAGCGGCAGGTGAGGAGATTCGAGCCTTTGTGGTTGGACTGAGGCAGGGGGTGTGTCTTGCAAAATAAATG